GTCGTTCAACTGTGATTAATTCTTCTTGGTGTTAGTAATTGAGTAATTAGTTTTATAATTAATTGAATTACATATGTATTTCGTTGTTCAACTTGCAGGTGTGATGAGTTGCCGACATCGGTGAATTATTTTTGTTTGAATGATTTGTCGCAATTCTCGTCGAAACATGTCTGATGTCAAGATGAAGATTAGAAATTGCAAGGCATAACCAAGATAAACGAGATCATATAAGGTATTGTTGATAAGTGTATCGATCAAAGCACGTGATCCCGTGAATGAACTAACACCAAGAAAAGTTCGATAGACAGTGTACACTGGATATGGTACATTTAGAATAAGATAAATAATAACTTGATTGGCTAACATTTTATGAAGTTGTGTCTCTTTTTTTGATACTCGATCGTTCTGAACAGGTTGACTACCCTTAACTGGTTCTGTTGTTCTAGTACGTCGTGTAGTTTGATGAATATTACGAATAGTAAGTATTCCGAAGAACAGCAGTGGAAGTATTGGAAAAAATCCATTTTCGACCGTGATATAAAAACTAAAATACGTCATAATACTCACTACTGGAATTCTGCATTTGCCATTTTGGAGGCCAGAGAAAACAAGAACTTGAATGTAGAAGAGAAGCCAAATAATGGCGTCGATAATCATAAGACGAACAGCAATCTTTGGTGAACTCCATTGACGACGAAGAGCACTGCGACAACTACAGAAATAACGATCTGCAGCAGCAAACATCATGTTGTAACGAGCATTAGCTGCAGCAACATAAAAAATGTAGTAGCGGACCTTACAAAACCATTCTGGAACAGCGTTAACAGGAACATTATAACCATATTGAATCATTCGAATAAATGTAGCAAAGTTGAAAACAAAAAGCTGTGAAATGCTTGAAACTATGAAATACATGGCACAAGGACTCTTGCGGAATGCCGGTCGATAAAATACAATGCAAGTACAAATCGCTCCAATATTACCAACGATCCATATAAAACCATCAAGACATTTTGAAACGGTTGCGATTAAAAAATTGTAGAAAATTATTAATTGAGCTTCCTCGTCTACAGTAATAACTGTGCTTGTACTCATTGTAGTGTTACTCATGTTTCAAAGCCTAGAAAAAAAACGAAAGAACAATACTGATTCGGAAACAATATATTTCTCTCAACACTCTTTTCAGAATGCAAATAACAGAATTATAGTTAATCAATTGATAGCACTTGGATACAAAATAAATATTATTTTGACCGATGATAGTGCTGTTTCTAGAACAACTTTGCTCTCGATCTTGAGAGAAATACTAAGTAGTTTCAAATGGAATCTTTCCTATGATTTATGAATTAAAATGTTTTGTAAATATGATTCGTGTTTTGTCTTTATTAATTATATATTGTTGTTAAGAAGAGGAGATTTACACTTACTTTAGATGTGACGTATGAAGATTTCGATCAGTTTTGTGATAAGAATGATGAATAGAGATACAAGAGAATGAATATTTAGAAGAAGAATATTAATTAAATGTATTCAAAGTCGGCAAAAAATGCTGGTTTCGATAAAAAAAAAGAGTGATAATTATATGATGAAAAGAGATAAGTGAAGCAGATTAAATTGATCAAAAAAAAACAGTTTTATGTGTTTAAAAATACATGTCTGGATTTTCAAAAATCATGACTTTTATACGAGAAGAAGCGGGTCGCACAAAAATAGGAGTAATTAAAAATACTTTTTATTCATCATTAAAATAAACGTCGCTTGACTGAAAAGAGAATAAGTTCAAAGAGAAAAAAAACAAAAGAGTTGTTATTCAAATTACGTGACTGAGAACATATTTAATTACATTATAAAATTTGTTTTTCTTAATATAAACTATGAAATATTAAGATATAAAGTAGTTATCTATTTTTTTAAACATCTTGTATGAGTGAGGATGTAAAAGAGAGTCAAGAGAGACTCTCTATAAGGTTCAATTATTACTGAACAATACATTTGTGATATGTATAAGAAAACAAAATCTTAAATAACGATATTAGCATGGATAATACTTTATCTCTAATTAATATTAATCAAAGATCTTTGATAATACAAAGTAACAAATAACAACAAATGCAGTCGTTAAACATTGTATCTTTTCTAGTTCTAAAAAGACATCAACGATTGATTATTCTCGTTAATAACTAACAAGCAAGAGGATTTGCTATAATTAAGCTTTGATCAAATATACTCATAATGTCAAAAAACTATTCTATAAATAAATAACACACATAATTTAATCTTTCACGATTTAGTTTTAAAATGTATGCGCACACTAACAAGGAAGGCTAATCCTCTATGAGAACATATCGAATTAAAAGGGTATGGGTGCAAACAAATCAGAATACCCACACCCACTAATCTTTTTCAATCAAGTGTTTGATCAAGTCAATATTTTCAATATGAAAGATGGGATGAATCTTATCACTTTTCACATTTATTTATTTCTCAAATGCTGAAAATAGTTGGAGCAGGAGCAAATGAACTAATAATGAAAGAAAAACTTCAGGACATGAAACCAAAATTGAATTAATATGTAAATCAGAAAATAATTAATTTGAAGATAATTGGCGTAAAAAAGACAATTAGATATACAAGAAAACGTGAATTTAATCTTTGATTTTATAAAGAATCAATTGCACGTACATTTTTAGGATCATTAAATCGTTACAGAACACATGAAAGTTATTTAGTTATAATTCTTCAAGTCATAGATCCGTAATTTTATGTTTTTTAAAATTATAAACTATTTAGATATGATAAAATAATAGTTATACGACGCACTAAAATACAGTTTCATAATATTCAATTTTTACAATATAAGATGTCTGTTCATGTGATAACATATGGAATATATTATAATTACATTTAAAAAAGATTTAATTCCCCTCATTTGTTATATATTGATTATTTAATTATATTATTTAGATACCTTTTTATGGCGGTTATTGGTTTTAATTTTAAATATAAAATTCCAATACAGTAGTTTTCAAAAAAACTTGCCCACTTTATTTTCACTACTGCTCCAACAGATAACATTCTTTTTTATTAGTTTTAGTATGGTTCGATGGCCTACCAAAAACACTACATAGTGATATGTTTTAATGTTTCTTCCATTCATCTTCACAGGAAAAATACAGAACAGAATTATAAAAATTCGAAGCCAAAAAAACAATTACACTTTTTAAAGGCTTTATTTTTCGGTTTTTTGCTATTATCTCGATGTTTAAGAGACTTTGTTTTTTTAAACTTGTTCCAATATTATAATAGAGACAAGTTTCACGTTTGACACAGTCTTCATCGAAGATATATAGATAGGAGAAACGTTAGCCAGAACACTCATTAGCAATTCTTTTTATGTTAGTATTTTACCTAAGGCAACAGTAAACTAACCATAAAAGAATCGCCTCAAAAAATCTCAAGATGAGTGTGTAAGGTGTCTGACACCAATATCAGCTTTAGGCTAAGTTTTTTTGAAAACTACTGTGAGTTTATACTTTTCTATGAAAGCTTCTAATCTAACCATTTAACGATAAAATGATTTATTTTGAAACAAACTTTTAAACAATTATGCATGATACAGTTTGAAGTATATTTAGGTCATTTTTAAAAAAAAACATTTCTCAACGACACAGTGAATAATATGAGAGCGAATGCAATATATCAATGTTCTCTTTCTTCCAACGTGGACTTGTTGATTTTATATAAAGTGTGTGTTGAGAAGAAGAAAAAAAGAACGAACACACGATACAAAATATACTAAACGTAAGCGCTGTATACATAGAGAATTCACTACAATATCACGTCTCCTATATGTAGGAGCAAAATAATCGTTTTTTTTAAACTATATATTTTAAGTTTTATGACAGAAAGAGAACGTGTGGGAGTTAGATAAGAATTCAGTAATATGTTAAAACTTGCCACAAAGCATCATCGTTTATTCTTAAACCAGTTGCATATAGTTTGAAATGATCAAGAAAACATGGTATATTTTAATAAATATGAGTATATTGATGAAGATTATAAATGCAAGTATGTAAAAAATATATTATAATATTTTTAATTAATAAAACTATTTTATATTCTCAATAGACACAACTGATGAGAATGTTTCTCTACGAGTTTCTCCAAACTGGCTTGGCACTTGGAGTACCGATACAAAATGTGATAAATTAAGGTGTTGTTGTCTTTTTGACTATATAACCACTGATGCACTCGAAAATGGAACAAAATTACGAATGATTGGAAATACCGATGGAATTGGTGTGTGTGCAGGAAAGGCAGTTTTATATACAACGTTTGATATGCCAAAAGATTTCATACTACCATATCGTTTGATCGGCGTATTTCCTGTTAATTTTTCGTTAAGTGAAGATAGTCAAGTAATTTCTGTTATCAGCCAGGCTGGTTCTCAATGTAATACTATTGCTACTCGACTTAAAAATGGAGCAATTAGCGTCGAGTCGGTACTTATTGTTACTTTACTATCGAGTTTCATAGGAATAAAAAACGTTTTTTGAAATTTTTTATCAAATATTTTTGACATAATTAACGATACTTTTCTGTTGTGCATTGTCTAAAATTAATTTCTAATAAAATTTTCAGTAAAGATATTAGTGAAGATGTGGTTCGAAGGCTATATGTACATGTATCAAGCACAGAAAATAAAAGAACTTCTATATGATTTATGATCATTTTCTTGTTCGGTTCTATTCATTATTTATTCTACCAGGATGTGAGTGCTACAATCAATCATTCATATTCGATTTCAATAAATCATTACTACGCTAGTACAGCTTATTAGTAATATGATCATCACTCTTTACTTTTCTATGTATATCAAGAATGATCACAGTATGCCATCCACCTACGAGGAACACCTGTTTATGATAATTACATCAGATACTTGATATCACTTGCTTTGTTTTCTCACCCACATATTTTCTCTTTCTCTCTCTTTGTTACACATTGTATATAAGAGATGACGACAATATGTTCTTTAACAGATTCTAATAAAAAGGTAAAAAAATCTTTTGAATTAATTTTCCATATTGATTAAATAACCAAATATTGCATTTCACATATAAATAATAAATGTATTTTGTTTACAGTTCAATGCAGTTCATTTATCACATACTTCTACTCGTTGTTTGTGTTGGTACTTTTGTTGATTGTAAAGGTGGACGTGGTGGTGGTGGTGGTGGTCGTGGTTCTATTGGAGGTAAATTTATTTACTTTTTTATTTGAACTTTTGTTACCTTATAACCATTGACAAATATTCAAAATATTTTCGAAATTGTATCACGTTGACCCATTGGGATATATTTTCTGCTGATAGGTCGTGCGCGATATGGTGGTGCTGGGTATGCTGCTGCTGGATATAGCGGTGCTCGATATAGTGGTAGCCATCAAAAGGAAAGTAAATCATGTAATACTGATCAATGTCAATCAGAGAGGGCTATATTTGGTATTATTTTCTGTGTTGGAGCACCAAGTATTATATTTGTGTTGATCGTCTTATGCATCCTGTGCTGTAAATCAGATGGCCGTACAAATGAAAAAATCGACCAGCATACAAATACAACTAAATATAAAGGCAATTGTGAATCTAACCTTCAAGTTAATAAAAAACCATTGGCAAGTAAGTGTTTGTTAATTGTGTCTTTGTGTGAAATGAGTTTTAAAATTGTTCTTTAGTTGCAAGTAATAATGATGGCACATTTAATGTTAATACCTCTTATACAAACTCATTAAATAATTATGTAACACATGAAGATTATTTATATTTATTATCGATAATAAATCCACAATTAAAACAATTAATGATCTATATGTATTTATATAGGATTTCTATAATACTATTTGGCCTTGTTTGTCTAGCATCATTGTCATTGGGTGTTTTTTTCTTAATAGATATAGGTGACTTTGGAGATTTTTTGATAAGCATATCTATACTCGTGGGTGTATTATTTTCGTAAGTTTATATTTTTTTAAATTATTGACTATTTAGATACGAAAGCTTTAATCAGTGAAATTTTCTGTTAATAGAACATGAAACAAAAATTGATCAATACGATTTCTCATATGTAAAACTAGCTATTTTGTTTTCAATTCTAAATGTTGTTAATATTGACATAACGATCAACTATCAACGCAACTGTTGTACTATACTCTTTCTTTTTCATAAATTATCGTATCAGAGAAAAATTTCATATGAAATATTTATCTCATTTAGAATCATAATCTCAATATTGAGTCGTGACTTTTTTAAAACTAAAATGGAAAATATACGTAGCAATGTAGCATTATTTGTAAGAACATTTCCAACTCGAAGAATTGCTTCTAATACAACAATGTATTCGATGTGGAACATAGAATTTGGTAATATTTCAAGATTCATAGTAAGTGATTATAGATTTCAATTATTCTCTTAATATTACATATGTCAAATAGTTAATTGTAGAACCTACTTCAGTATGTCAAAAAAATGATATAAATTCAACAACATCCACTATTCCCGAAATGATAGATCGAACAAATAATCCGTCTGAATCAATACATTACAATCCACAATTAAATACAATAATAACTCTTGAAGCTAATAAATAGTTTCTATTTCAAACTCATCTTATGTATTATCCTTAGTTGTTTTTGTTCTTTTCTGTATATAGTTGACTTAAAGAAATAGGGACCTCTGTCGAACTGATAACGATTAGTAGATATTCTTTCGTCAATGATTCATTTTTATACTCACCGAACTTCATAAAATATTATTTCGATTTACGTAACTCATGCTAATATTCGACTATCTCAAAAAATTAAGTATTTTTATTTTAATTACAACTATTGTTATTCCACTATGGTATAAATCAACTAATTCTCAATATATTTTAATACGTATTGTACATTCATTGCTGACATTAAAACATTCTTTCATATCTGATGCAACACGACCAACATTAAGTGCAGAATATCGTGCTTTTGAAAATTTAATACGTATAAGACCCATACCACAATATGATCCATTAGCGGATGCTATAACTTTACTTAAAGATATGCGTTCAAAATCAGTTATGTCTGATCTTATTCCAAAACCAGCACAATGTCGAATAAATAAAGAAATCTTTGAATATGATGAACATACAATTGATACTTATTGGATTGATTATCCTATTCGAAATTTTCAAAAACATTCAGATAAATTATTTATTTTTTTACATGGTGGTGGATATTTAATAGGAAATATTCAAAGTAAATTGTTTATATTCATAATTGAAAGAATCAAGTTATTGTATATCTTTAATTAGGTTATAGTGGTATTGAATGTGAATTATCTCGAATATTTAATGGAACAATTCTTCATGTTGAATATCGTCTTAGTCCTGAACATCCTATTCCTGCTGCTGTTAATGATACTATATCAGTCTATCGTACTTTACTCAATCGAGATATTTTGTCATCTCAAATTTTTTTTATTGGTGATTCTGCTGGTGGTGGTCTTTCTCTTTTAACAATTCAAACTTTAATTAAGCAACAAACACAAACTCCACGTGGAGTTATTGTTCTTTCACCATGGACAGATTTAAGTGCATCTGGTGAAAGTTTTATTGGTAATCGTGAAATTGATTTATTATTTAGTCATGATGATGTTCGATGGGTTACTGCACAAGTATTGAGTCTCAATCAATCTGCAAATGATCCTCATTATAGTCCTCTATTTGGTTCATTTAAAGAATTTCCACCAATGTACATCACTGTTGGTACTACTGAAATCTTATATGATGATGCTAGACGAGTATTTCGTAAAGCACAAGAAGCAAATGTAAATGTGACGTTAGAAGAAGGTTTGCATATGATGCATATTTATCCAATTCTTTTCTCATTTTTTCCTGAAGCACAAAATACATTGAACAATATTAATCGATGGGTTCAGACATTGATTGAAGAACATTAATTTTAAAAAAAAAAGTGATATTTGTTTTTACTTGCCTTTTTCCTTTTTTTTGTGTGATATCGAGTGAATAATTTGTTAAAGGTGTGTAGCATCAATATTCTCGAGTAAATATAATAATGCTATTTTTGTTTACAATATATTCTCAATTTTGCGATTTTTGATTGATCTTGAGGCTATGAGTGTGGGTATGGATACTAGATTAGTCTGTGAGCCAAGGCCACACCCATACCCTCTACAAGTTTCCAGTCGCCGTCGTCAACTGTTCTCTCTAGAAAACCTGAAAAGAAAAGAGAAGTGGTGTGAAAGAGCAACAAATAAAGCCTTGACTCAAACTTGATAAGAACTATTCCTTTTCTTTCTCACCGGCAATGATATTATTTATCTTGCGTGGGTTTCTTTTGTTTTTCTACGTAACAACAGAAGAAATTCTCATGTATACGCTCAAAACAATACACAAATACAAAGAACTTTAGAGAAAACATTGATTCTCTCTGTCTACTGTACAATAACAAAAACAGGGTGTGGCTATGAAGTGAAGATAACCAATAAGAGAAGACATTCACACCCTCACGATTTGACTTCTATCTGAAATATTTTTCGCATAAATGGACTTATAAATGATACATCTTTGCTTTTTAACGGCGCGATGACCGTCCGGTCATTTTATTTTTTCTCGTCATAATTTCTAAACTGAGGATTTTTTCAAATAAAATACATTAATACATGAACTTGAATTGTACATTATTGGTATGTATTCAAAAAAACATCATGGAATGAAGACATTTCGTCCTCTTCGATTATATCTTCATAATCGTCCCCATTAAAATCACCGATATCGATTCAAGTGAGTTGATTATCAAATCTGGTTGAATATGTTTTCCTTAATCGAACATGACGCACAATCTTAATAAATCTTTCTATTTGTTGTTATTCACAAATTTTTATATTTACTCATAGAACTTACTTCTGTAAAATTGAATGAAACAAGTTTCTCTTTTCAATTCAATTCTGAGAATTATTTGTTAATAAAGTAAAAGAAAAATCCGACAATATCTCACTGAAAACTAAAGATCATAAAAATAACAAACTTCTTTTATTTTTCTATTCGCCTACATAATGACGTCAATCTAAAATAATTTTTTATTGAAATAACTGATAAATTACAACAAGAAATATATTTCCTTTTTGCAAAACTAATCTATGAACAAACTTATGCCAAATGTCACTTTTTATCAGATATTTAAAATTTGACGAAAGGATATGAAAACAAACCGTTTGAAAAAAAAATTCAACGTTATTCTTAATAAAAAGATAACATTGAAAACCATCACTTGGAGAAGGAAATGCAAACTTTCCTGAAAAAGACAAAACAGAATTTATCTGCACAGAATATTTCGTATTTAATTGGAAAAGATAATGTATCGACACTGTCTCTTGTAACAAATATATTCTCTAACTGTTTTTATTCTTATTTCACAGACGTCATAAAGAATGTTTTTAATATAAATCTTTTACGAATAACATTTCAAATATTAATTTCAAATAATTCCATTTTAATTGATATCAACACTAAGAGAATATTAGATCGATCAAAAATGTATCAAAATCATATCTTACTTTCTGACGCTTTTATTTGAATTTTATTGAAAAAGATCTTCTGTGTAGTTCTTTACAAAATTGAATCAAAACCATCTTGAATATTGGTGTGGGTGATTTAGGTGTGTCTATTTGGTTCACAATTAATGTAATCCACACCCTGTCTACGTCTCATATCGTTTTCTAGTATGTGAAGTTTTCATTCTGAATATTCCTCAATCGTCATCGAGTACCTCCGTTAGTAACGAATAAGATCTAACAAATATATCTCGGATATGAAATGAGCATGCTATTGTCCATTTGATCGTCTCTTCACTGTCCATACAAAAATCAAAAGTTCATGTCCTACAGATAGAGCCATTATACATTATTGTTGATTATAATCATAGTACACAAACATGTGCCTTATCTTGATCTTCTTATTTTTATCAATACTGAAAGAGATTCTTGTGGGATAAGAAGAGAAGACTTATCGAGTAAGGATACTTCAGTAATTATGAATTGCGTGCTTGAATTCTGACAAAGAGTATATTATACGTCAATATTATTATCTGCATAGATATCTTCAAGTAATCCTTTGTTTTTTGGACTTTGAACAAATAAGACTGTTGAGATTCGACTGAAATAAGTTTAGACGAACTGGCAAATATTTGATAGGATAAGGGGATAATAAATATTCTTATTTATTCATCAGTGATACACAAACTAATCGTCTACGATACGAAAAACTATATAAAGTCATATCAAGTAGTGTACATTCATTTCAAACTTGCTTGTTGGCTATATATATTCAAGAACAGTTCGTTTTTCTATTATATTCTTTTTAAAAGAAATTATTTCTATTTGTCGTTGTAGTTTTATTTCAATAATGCAATCCAAATTCTTACTAAGCCTTCTGATACTTGGTTTATTGGCTTGCTTCCTGGCGGAAACATCTGCGCGCCGTCTCAGTGCTTCCTACGAGCACAATGATAAAGATCTTGACACGCGCCAGATCACGGTCGACTGTACAGCTCGATGTACTTGGTGGAATGCCTGTATGTGGAATGGTGGATCGTGTCCTGAACCTGACGATTGTGATTGTCGTCATTTTGGAAAGAAATAGACTACTTCAATCTTTTTAGTTAGAGTCCCTTTTCGGCTTCTTTTTTTTTAACATACGGCCAAAACTAGATTGTGGCCTGAAACTAAATAAATGATAACGACAGCTTTTCACCTGCTGCCAATCAACGATAATTCTGTGTTTAGATCCATGCATGACGGAACAAACGAAAATTGTGTTCTCAAGATCTCTGAGCATGCACATGCCTTTCCTCCTACTATATTCATATCCATATCCACATTCATCTATCTTTCATTTGTTAAAATATTTTCACGATAAAAGGGTGTGGGTGTGGGCGTGAGTGAATGTTGATCTGTTTTTCTCCCATGCCTATACCAAGACAAAACTGTATTCTTATCTTACGTGTTTGCTTGCATCAAAAAAGCTGCAGAACTTTTCGTATAACTACAAACTGATTCTTCTCTCGAAAATCAAATTGATTGATTCCGTAATGAAAATGAATGACAACTCGCATATAGCTGAGTAGATATGAGCGTATATGATGTGATAAGGATTCAAATTCTGTTCGAAGCATGTGACTTTTTTGCATTGAATTTTGGAACTTTGTTTGACTTATTGGCAGAGGTATCCCCTCAAGATCTCAACGGCGAAGCGAGTAATCGACCATGCTGACTCCGAATCTGCAATTTTTTTACACTGAAAAACTTTTCTCCAAAACCTCTCAGGGGTGATTTGATATTCTCTGAAAATTTCGCAGTGATCTGCTGTGATTATCATACGTACTGATAGCAGTTTAGTATCATTATATGATCGAACCCTACAGTTTACGAAGCAAACTAGTACTGCCTCCTTAAGAAAAGGGTCAATGAATTTGAAGATGAGTGGTGCTTGATATGTAAATCATCTTTGGAATTGCTACAAACATTTCATTGCAATAAATGTTTTTCCATGAGCTCTTATATTAGAAATTTGCTTGTTAATTATTCCCAAAAAACAAATAATTTATTCAGCATTATAACCCAACAACAAATTTAGATTCAAAACTTCACTAGTTTTAGTACTGATCGACACATAAGCACATCATCGTATGAAATCAAGAGGGAAAAAAAACAAAATTCACAATTACTTCTACCGGTCTTGTATCAGTGATAAACATCAGTAACAAATTTTCCTTTTTATTTATGCTTGTTAGATCAAGAAAAAATAATACGTTGTTACAACGGTTTCATCATTATTGAGTATCTCTCAGTAAAATACATGATAACGTCATCGATTATTTTGTGTATGACGAAAGTAATCATTGCCAGTTGTAAAAAAGAATGTCCTTGAATTAAAAAGATAAACAGTGATCATCGAACTGTTTCCAAAATGTTCTCTTTCTCGTAGAGTAGAGTCCAGCAAACTTAAATTGTCTGATTTCTTGCTTATTTGCTTGTTTGTGTGTCCGCAGAGTCAAAAAGACATTTCTAGAGGTATTTCGATGCGGAGACTTCGAATCTGAGGTCCGTTGGGTGATCACGTTGACGGAGGTGGATGAAGAGGGTGCAAAGGTAAAAAAACATCGAAAACCGATTTTTCACACTTTTCAATTGTTTTTCTAGTAAATGTGAAGAGGAAGCATCTCTGTGAGAAAGAGCTAAGCGAGTCCTCGGACGAGCGTTACTTGTTAAAATATTCTTTTTTCGTACTAAATAGTCTTGCGCCAGCTGCATATCATTGTGCTGTTTTCAAATGTATTCTCGTATATAACTGCTTGTTCTATCGAGAAAAAAAATTGTAACATTAATGTATTGCTACAAAGCAAGATGATTGGTGACAGCTGTTTTTCTTTTGTTGAAAGAATATTTACATTGACATTAAATTATATTTCAAGATGTACCATAAAAAGAATATAGATATTTTTTTGAATAATAACTACAGCAGAAAACACGTGTAAATGGTATATCTCTTTTACTAATAAATAACAAAAATAGAAAATGTAAGCATATTTACATAATCGATTTCAATTGATAATGAATTATTTTCATATTGATGTATCTCGATTTATTCTGTAAAGTGAATGTGTTTTAAATGTCGTATTTATTTGAGAAATATAAAATATGATAGATATTCTCTGTTCGTTCTATAGATTGTACAACGTTAGTGAAAATAAATTGTCTGTTTGGTTGCTTGATTGTGTATCCGCACTTCACTGATTGGTCCAAAAATTAGGTAAAGATATAAAAGAAATTTTTTTATAAGAGTTTACCGAAGGGTTATCAAGATCGAGGCACTCAAATCTGAAGTCGATTTTTTGAAATTGCTTAATTAAATAGTTTACTGATAGTGAAGACACACAGTTTCTACGAAAAAGAGCCGAGTGAGTCCCCAGACAAGCGTTATTTGTCCTTATAAAATAAAAACAACACAGAGAATAAAGTTTAACAAACTGTATCGGTACCAGAAATAAATTGTTAGTAATATTTCTCAGTTTTTCTTCTTCATTCATGCCTCTTTGATGACGAAATATGTACGTTATTGTGTATCTCTCAGTGAAACATGTGATAACGTCATCGATTATTTTATGTATGAAGAAAGAAAAATTATGCACGAAGGTAATTACTGTCTATCGTACAAAACCATGTGCTTCGATTAGAAAGAGAACAGTGATAATCGAACTGTAACCAAAATGTCCTTATAAAATAACCACAACACAGAGAATAAAATTTAAATTTTCTAATATAAGAATTTTATCTACAAACCATATCGGTTCGAGAAATAAATTATTAGTAATATTTCTCAGTTTTTCTTTTTCCTTTATGCATATTTGATAATGAATAAAATACGTTGTTGTGAAGATTTCACCATTATTACGTATCTGTGAGTGAAATATGTGATCACGTCATCGATTATTTTTCGTATTAAGGGAGAGTAGATGAGCAAAGCTACACCCAAAGGTAATTACCGTCAATCGTACTAAAGAATCTTTTCGATTACGAAGATACTTAATGATCATCGAACTATATCCAAAATGTCCTTATAAAACAATAATAACAACGCAGCAAATAAAAACATTCTGTTGATTATAGTTTATAAGTTGAATTATGAGACGAATCAGTTGTATCCAAATGAGGGCATTTTTTGGTTTCGAAAGACTAATAGGGGGTTCGGTCTGAATCAAGTAAAATATGGATTGATTTCATAAGAGGTTTTGATTTTTAGAGCATATAGTTCGAAATTTCGTTGAAAAGAGTGTGTTCAGTGTTTTTGTGTCATCATGGAGTTTTGATCATTAGTGGAGGCATAGATTATGTAATTATGGCTTGTTTTTAGTGGTTTGGTGTAGTCGGTATGAAAAGAATAAGAATTTGAGAAAAAACAAAGAATAGTTAATAAAAAAAAAAGAAGAGGCGATAGGTGAAGAGAGTGCAAAAACGAAAAAATATCGATAGAAAGAAAGGAGATAGTTGATAGTATATAAGACGAATAGCTTGCTGTGATTTTTTATTTATCGAAATTGCATCATATACATTAATCGTCTTACAGGTGAGTGTTGTGTTTTTTATATTTGTATTCATAGTGGAGAATAGCAAGAAGTAAAACCTAATTTGACTTGAGAAATTATTGTTGAATTTGAGTACTGGTGAAGATGGGGGTGTGGATGTGATTATTTCTCTCGCTCATCCACACCCACACCTTAGATTAATATCGTTTTTAAACATACTTTGTTTTTATTTTAGATGTTCGATTCTGCATTTTTTCGTGCCGCTGGAGTGGTCGCAGTCATGAGTGTCTGCATTTATAGTATGTCTATTTTTGACAAAATACAGATTTACACAGGAGTTGACGAGTATGCTGAAAAACCTTGGCCATCAATGCCATCATATTTTGCTATGCCATTGAATACATTAATTAATATTATTTATACTTTTCTCGGAGTCTATTGGTTATTTTTACGTCGTCAAAAAAGAGATCATAGTATCAATTTACGTGTTTTTTGTTGGATTATTATTATTTATAGTGGAGTTCAGTTATTTCGTATTATTACACAACAACATTTTTTTGGTGTACTTGATCAATGGTATACATTACATATAGCTTCATGGGTATTTCTCTGGGCATTGAGCTTACAATTGGAGAAGGACAACTGGATAGTAAAAAATTTCATTCTAATTGAATTAATCTTATGTCTTTCGTATCCAATTCTCGGTAATCTACATCCCCATGGTTATGAAGTAACAATTGGCACGCACCTTATTCTCATTCTTGTAGCAGTCATTCGTCTTCATATGAATCTAAAAAATGAAAAAGATGCTAATTTTCGTTTATGTTTGTTATGTATATGTGCATCCTGTTGTATAGGTTTTGTATTATTTGATTTATTGGAATTGTATTTAGCAACTTTATGGCCATCTATGTTTACTGTTTGGTCAGGACATTTCTTTTCAAGAGTATGTGATATTCTACAAATTCATTTTATGATTACACTCTTAACAATGATTGAAGACTATAAATTTCAAGAACATAACGAAAAAGTTAAATTGAAGAGAATAACACAAAAATATAAATAGACTAACATGTGATTTAGTATTTAAAAAGAAATAAATACTAAGTAAAATAAGTAATTAAAAATCGCTTATCACTGTAGATGAACAAGAAAATATTGATGTATTATTTAATAAATTTCTTCTGATTTGATTTATTAAATGTTGATAACATTTTCTCTGTGATCTGATAATCTACTAGAACATTAGTTCCATTGTTTATACATTTTTATCAACACTGACGACGAAAACTTTACTAATTTAAGGATGCAGGTTTAAATATAATTAAACGAACACCCATACCCTGGATAATTTTTTATTGACATTGCCATAGTTTTGTGTATATATATTCAAGCATGATCATCAATTTCTGAAATTTTCACCTCTCTGTACGTAGCTGATGATAAAATACATTGACAACACTGCGATACCGAAATGGTGTCGCAAAATACCTGAAGATGATTTTTTTTATTGATATTGTTATAGTTTTGTAAGATGGAAAAGAACTGAAATATCGTTTATATATATGTATATGTATATTCAAACATAACCTTTGATTTTTGAAACATTCAGCTTTCTGACTGTAACCAAAGGTAAAATACGTTGATAAGATTGAAATATACTTTTCTATACTCGATTTTGCCTTATCATTCAAAGCAAAACATCATGTGTTTCAACTGAGAGTGTTACTTTATCTTTAGTTAACTTTATAATAAAGAATAAAGATAAAGAAATAAAGTAAATCTTTATATTAATTTTATAATGATAAAGATTTTTTTCTATCAAAGCGTACTTTTCTATTTTGTTAGACTAGCTCACAAAGAATTATAAAATTATCATATGGAAATGATGATGATGATGTTGATAAAAAAGAGCATTAATAAATGTATTCTATTGTTATACAGGGTATTTGCATATGTACTTAATGCATGAAAAAATATATCTTTATTCTTTATTTTATAAAGTAAAGATAAAGTAACACCCCTAGTCTCAACTTATCGATAATACATTAATGTCAATTTTTATGAGACATCCTCTATATACATATTTGAGTGAAACTAAAACTTTACTTTGTAAATAGAATATTTTAGATACGATTAGAAAATGTATACGGAACCTCCAGACAATATTGTCACTCCGACAACTACTATCAATGCTCAATCGATTGCGGTGTCATCATCGAAAAGTAAAAGAATCCGGTTATTGTTCATTGTTGAAATGGTTATACTTCTCAGTGCTGTCATAGTTATTCTTGCAATGTGGACAAATATAACAAGTATGAAAGAATACTTTCTGTTAAGTTGATAATGTATTATGATTGCTTTTTCTTTTATAGAATGTTCACATGACGACAATATTACTATATCTAGTAAGAGTCTATATTAAGTGATACTATGGTTCTATGCTAAGAAAATAAAAAATTGATCATAGATTATATTATTTTAAAAAGTCTGACTATTTGACTATTTCTATTATACTATTTAGATTCGTCTACAAACTCAACGACACAATCGCAAACCCAAGAAATTATAGCTGATTTTATCATTATTGGCGGAGGCACGGCTGGATGTGTTGTATCGGCAAGATTAGCTCAATATGGTTTTCAAACTCTCTTATTATCTAGTGGTTCAAATGATACATTGAATCCAATGATGAAAGAAAAATCTTTGTTTGGTCAATTAATTCGTAATCCATATTTTAAACATTATCTTCCTGTTGACTCATCACCAAATCTTAATAATCGATCTATGGATCTTTTAGTATGGAATACTCTAGGAGGTAATAGCATTAATGGTGGTGGAATACATCGATTGTTGACAGACGAATGGAATTATTTCATTAATGCTACTGATGATCCATCGTTTCATATCGAAACAATGTCGAAATATTATAAATTAGTTGAAAATTATACATCAACTGAACCCTTTTCAACTTCAGATATTTATGGAAAGAATGGCTTTCTTAAAATCACGCATGCTTATGATTCTGTATTTAATAATATATGGAAAAATGTTGCTTCAGAATTAGATGAAGCATTTACTAGTGAATTATTCGATACAATTGATTATGGTTTTTCATTTGAAACTTCTTCGTTTACTAATGGAATCAGAAGTTGGAGTTGTGATTCTTATTTAACTTCTACGTTAAATAAATATCCAAATCTTAAAGTATTAACAGATACTACAGCACTTAAATTCAATTTAAATGAACAAACTAAACAAATCGAAAGCGTTCTCTTTATCTCACAAGATGGATTATTTAATGGTATTGCAAGAAAAGAATACATTCTATCTGCTGGTACATTTTTTAGTCCACATCTTCTTATGTTATCTGGTATTGGTGATCGAAATATTCTTCAAGAAAATCAAATACCAACGAAACATGAATTAAAACATGTGGGGAAAAATTTGATGGATAACGGAGTGATAATTATTCAATATCAAATACAAAACTTGTCTATTGGTGATTCCATACCAATCGCTTTAATCAATAGTCAATCACGCACAACAAATAATAATTCAAATACATTCTTCGTTTTAAAAGAAGATAAAAATACAAAACAATGGGAAGTAGTAATATTTAATCCTTCACCAAAATCAACCATTGGTTTTATATCATTACATAGTTCTAATCCTCTTATGTCACCTAAAATCATTGTGGACTATTTAAAAGATCCACAAGATCTTAATATATTTATTAATGCAATTCATTATATTCGTAAAGTGATGTCAACAAATGTAATGAAACAATATGGTAACATAACTGAACTTTTACCAGGTTCAAAAGAAACAGATTTATCGACATATATCAGAAATACATTATTCCCAAGTAGTCATTTTACTGGCACATGTTCCATAGGTCGAACTGCAGAAGATTCAGTGGTTGATAGTCATTTTAAAGTTCATGGAATAAGTAATCTTCGTGTCGTTGATGCATCTGTGTTTCCCGCACATTTTTCCACAAAAACTGGCCCGTTTTTAACAGTTCATGCTCTAGCAGAAAAAGCAGCACATATTTTACGTGAAACATATTCATAAATATGTCGTTTACGCTAGTTTTATAAATCGCACAATCTAATATACATATTTATCTTTGATAGAAGAGAAAGATTTAACGTTTTCATCTAAACAATAGCAAATGTTTTTAATTGAAAGTGTTGTAGGATAAATAGTCACATCCTCAACATAAATAACAAATAATTCATTATCAATTAAAGGCTCAAGTGGTACTAATCAAATACATTCATCTCGCCTATTTCTTTGTACTTCACAACTTATTTTTTTTATAGATTTTGTCGTCAATCGTGAGAATATCAATTATTTGAATAGTCGAATTATACCCATCATAAACATATCTCGTTAGTTTCGAATTAAAAATAAATATGATAAAATACTATGTATCGCTTACACTCTCATTTTTACGATTCGATAAAACACATAATAATTTATGCAAATGAATCTCAACATAAAATATGCGAAATCAACCGGAGCTTGCAGATTCGAAAATCAATTTTAGTTTTCAGAATATACTGAGAAGATGGGTTCAGTTG